ATAACGCACTGAAAATACAATGGATGACTCTAAAGTTTTATTTTATCCTGCACATATTGTCTACTATTACTTATGGTGACTTGTCTGAGTTGCCCACAGACATCTACATTCACGTTTTTATTTTACACTCATATTCAAATGAAAGGGAGAGAACGTTTATAACATTACATGGTCACATTTTTGTATAGATACAGCGCTTTTCACCTTCAAGGCACTCGAAAGTCTTTACATCAAGGAACCACTCACACATTCACACACACCTGTTCATACAGCAGAGTCCTGTAAATAGACACTGAGGACGAGGGGGGTTGAGTTTCTTGCCCAAGGACACAACAGCAGCAATCATCTATAGGAGCAGGAATCATCTGTGGAGCTGGAATAAAAACCTGTGGGTCAGTGTCGCTTTACCAGAGATGTTTATGTCGAGAGCGGATTTCAAATCACCAACCTCTACCTGTTCAGCTCCTGTCGCCAAGCCTGATTCATCAGCCGGTTTCACTTTGTGGAAACCGTCTGACCTCACACCATTAGGATTCATTCACTTGACGATACTCAGGTAGTTTATTTTTAATTTAACCAATCACTGCTATTTGTAATGTGCCAAATCTCATAGGAAGAAGGGCAATAACATCTTTCTTCTTGATAAACTTCAACATTCTCTTTGTTCTGGCTTTAAATCCTCGATCTCAGGAATTGTCGCCAACACAGAATGTCTGTCTTCGTCTACATCCATTTCGACGCTTTGTTTACTGTTGTGCTGTTCCACAAAAGTGACACAGACAGACGCTTGAGTTTGACGTCATGGCTTCACAGCTTTTCACTGATTGGCCGGTGTGCGGTCTACAACTTCCAGGGTTCTTGCAAACCATCAACTCTAGTGTATTCTGATTCCTGGCCTAGTCTCTGGAGAGAAATGAAATTGAGCAGAGGCACTAGGTGGCGCCAGTCTGACTACCTGTCGCTCCCAGTGCCAGGCCATGTGTTCAGAAAGGCTAAACCCTTCACTTCTGGAAGGATCTATAGGCAGAGGGTAGTACTCAGTTACACGTATGTACCTTTAAAAAAATTTACTTTTCTCAGTAGTTTTGAGAAACCACACTTTTAGTCTTACTTGTATAACAGAACTTTCTTGAGTAAAACTCCCTACAAGTGATAAAATGATTATTAATTATATGAAAATTTACATGACTTAATTATTTATTAGTCTTGTGTTTGTGTCTGTCCATTGAAAATACCAGATTGTTTGTGTTTTTAATGTTTTGTCCTTCCATTACTTTCACTTCAAATTATAAAACAGATATTTTCTTCTGACAATTGCTCTCACCTGAGTTGTTTTTCCAAATACTTTTTACTTTGAGACTTTTTTTTTTAATCGCTTGGTACTTTGTCAAGAGTGGCTAGCACTCATGCCTCACAGCAAGAAGGTTCCAGGTTCAATCCCCGGGTCGCCCGGGCCTTTCTGTGTGGAGTTTGCATGTGGAAATTAGCACTGATGCTACAACCTGATGTACAATACATCTCTCCTGTTAAGGTAAATGCAAAAATTGTGTGCTGTCTCAAATAAATAAATAAACAATAAACTAAGTGAACAAATCTGCTTTCCATTTTGACAGTTAAGCTGCAGATTCTGCTCTTTAACACAGCACTGATGTTCATACAGTTTTCATGTAGAGGTCTAAAGGCGCCACCTGCTGGATAAATCCTGTTGGTGCTGGCAGCGTACTCTGTAACCATGGTAACCACCAAAGCGTTGAGACTGTCCACGTTTTCTTTACTCCTTTAATCCACAGTTTATTTTTATGTGTCGTTTTAAACAAACAAACAATATATGTATATATATATACATATATATATTCTGCTTTTATAGCCTTATTACTTAAATAAATAAGTGGTGTTTTAAGAGCATTAAAAAGGCAAGAAAGGCATAAAAATAGCCCCTGCCTCCTTACTCTCCCTGGGGATGTGTTTCAGGCATGTCCCAGTGGAGGAACTCTGTTTTCCTGATGGCCTGGGAACTCCTCAGAGAGCCACGGAGGAGCTGGAGGAAGTGTCTGGGGAGAGGAAGTCTGGGAGTCCCTGCTTAGACTGTGATGAACTCGGATGGATAGAGACGACACATATTAAAAAATGCATCAAGTTCCCACTAGTAGTAAAGAAAAGGTCAAAATGATTTCAATTCCTTTGTATGTACATGTGAAGAAACTGACAAAGGCCATTATTCATTCATTCATCCAAACCTTCCAAACCCAGACACTCTGACTCTAGAGTGTGCTGTAGTTGTGAGGCCAGCAGAGGGAGCTAGAGGACCAGGACCACAACCACAGCGTCGTGAAGGCCTCTGCTGTTTGACTAAGCACATGATTTAGATTTAGATTGATTGTCATTGTACAAAATACAACGAAACTGCAAATCTGTAGCCGTAAGAATGAATAAATATAAACACATTCTCACATCCGTACATACACTGCACTTAGTTAAAGAGTCTATCATGAGAAGACTTTTGGTGTTCTGTAATATTTAGACCTTGGCTTTGTCCTTTTTTTTTTCCAAACGTAGAAAGTGACACGAGCTGAAGAGGATCTAGTACAAACTGTCGTGTGTTCTTAAGCAAGACACTTCACCATCTTTGCTCAGTGTGGTGTGTGAGTGTTGGTGGGGGTCAGATCGGCAGTTTTTGCTTTTGTCCCAGGGCAGCTGTGGTCACAATATCTGACCACCACTGAGGAGAGAATGAATAACACGACGTAATGTGCTTTGCCTGTCTTCAAATACACAGTGATGCATTATGAGTATGATGAAAACCACTACATATATTGATTATTTGTATCTGTTTCCCTCAAATAAACACATCAAGCCAAAAAGAGAAGCTGATACTGGACTGTACAAAACTCAACTGAAGTGAACATTTACAAATAAGAGCTCATCTGAGTCCTGGAAGAACAAGAGTAACAGGTGGTGTGTATTGGCCTATGCTCCTGTGTGTTTTGAAATGTAAAAAGCACGTAATAAGAACTCCCCAATTTAATTTCTCTCCAGCGACTATAGGTCAGGAATCAGAATACACTAGATGATTTGTGAGAACCCCAGAAGTGCGAGTTCGGGCACCAACCAATCAGCGAAGAGACATATATTCTGTGTTGTCAACGATTCCCGAGATCGAGGATTTCTACCTATGGGATTTGATGCATTACATACGTCACGACCAAATAGCAGCGATTGGTTAAATTAAAAAAGTAATCGCTTACCATCGAGCAAACGAATCCTAACGCTGCGAGGTCAGACGGTTTTTACGAAGTGAAACCAGCTGATGAATCAGGCTTCTAAATTTGGTCCACGAGATCATATCAAATCTGTATTAGAGCTGTCCACTGGCTACAGATAGACTATACAGACATTATTTATTTAAAATGTTGTTATTATTTTATATTCTGCTTGTTCTGGATTCAGTGTTTAAGCAAAACTATTATTAAACATTTATTTTAATAAGAAAAGGTTTAACATTACATATCTGGAAAGAAGAGAAAACATGCAGATGTTGCTGAATTTTTTCAATAAATATTTAGTTTGGCCCAGGACTTAGTCCCAGTTTTTAATTTTGGTCCTTTGTGAATTTGAGTTTGACACTCCTGATCTAAGAGTTTACGAGGTGGAATGAGTGTGCTCAGCTCTGGAGATAACAATGCATCAGGTTTTTTTTCTTATAAATATAGCGCTTTTCTGGACCCTCAAAGACACTTTACAGATCATTATTCATTCATTCAATACTGCTGTTGTACTACTGTAGCCACAGCTGCTCTGGGGCAAACTGGCAGAAGCGAGGCGGCCAATCTGCGCCGTCGACCTCTCCAATCCAATCCACTTTATTTCTATAGCACATTTCACAAAGAAACAGTTTCCAAAGTGCTGCACAAATAGATCGAAATAACAACAATAATATAATGATAAAATAAATGCTCAGATTTAATCATACTAGTCTTAAAACAATAAAGCCAGTAAAATATGTTGTTGTATTTTTATTAATAATAATAATAATAATAATAATAATAATAATAATAATAATAATAATAATTAATTAATTATTATTATTATTATTATTATTTATTTTATTAATTTATTAATTAATTTATTTATTTATATGAGCAAGGTAAAACTAAATCAACAACACTATCAAACACTAAAAACTAACACTAAAAACAAGGACATGTACATGGACATATTTGGGGCCCTGGTGCTCAAAAGGAGGAGGATGAAGTTTAAAAAAATAAATAAATAAACTTATAATGTCCTACCCCGATTGTTTTACATAATCACATGGTTAACACATATATCTTCGTTTATGGTCGCACAAACTAACAATAATAATAAAGAAGGAACAAAGTAGAAAAGTAAACAAAAATGAGAATGTTAAAAAATAAATAAATAAATAAGAGCAAAAACAGCAGAATAAATAAAACCAATAAAATACAATAAAAAAAAATAAACACCGATAAACACCAACACTCACGCGCACACCAGTTTCATATCAGGCAATGTGGGTGAAGTGCCTTGCCCAAGGACACAAGGACACAGACTACGCAGGAAGAGTCTTACACATGAATGAAACATGAACGCGCCTGTAGTATTTTGGAGGAAACCTGCACGTGGTTTCAGCTCCAAATCGTCACGTGGCTCCTGTAAAAAATCACCCAGGAATAAAATAAATATTCTTCTTTTTCATGTGTATGACTAAGCGCCGGGTTTTGTTTTGGTCCGTGCGCATTTTGGAGAGCTCCGAGTGCGCCAGCATGACCTCACCGCTCGCGTGCGTAATCACCTGTTTGTTGAGACAAGCTCGCGCGCTTTGTGTCTGGTGAGCGGCACGAGCGCGGGTTCGGTACGGGGTGCGCGTGCGTGGATCTGTGAGTACTAGCTCTTTGCGTGTGCGTGTGCGTGCGTGTGTGGCACAGATGAGCCACTCTGCCTGGCACCTTCTCCCCGCTCTCCGTGCGCTCCGGGCCGCCTGAGGAGACACACCGCGGCTCCATGGCTCCACACCGGTACTCCCCGTCCTCCGCAGCCGCAGTCCAGAGCGAGAGCAGCGGCGCCACGAGCAACTGCTACGGTAAGACTGCTAAAGAATCACATGTCACTACAAAATAAGATCTAGAATTAATTTAAAATATATATTCCTTTGTTTACGGAGTTGTTTACTTTGCTTTTGGACCCAAAGTTGGAGTTTTTGATTCTTCTGCACTCGTATTTTCTTATTTTATGGCACAAAAATCTATCAACAACAATCAGAAATATATGCCAGAATAGTTGGGGTAAACAGGTAAATAAACCACGTAGTTGCTGACATCAGGTTAATAAGCAGACATTGCGCTGACGGAGCGATGCGCGCGGGGCCATGTTTGGCACGGAGGATTAGTGCGTATTAGCGCGCGCTAATGCCGTGGAGCTCAGCCCTCTGCCCTGTCCGGGACAAGACCAAGTACTGCTGCCATGTGTTTGATAACTCACTCTATTGTGAAACACAAGTACAGTAAAACTGGCATTCACAAGAAGAACAATAACAATGTAACCTTAACTGTCAAGATCTGTGGAGAGGAGACCTCGAGGCCCCAGACTAAAGAACTTTATCACTAGGTCTTACTTGACTTCGATGTTGTTGATGGGTTGAAGTGATGATGAAAATAAATAAAGAGAAAAGTCCCAGCGGGGGTTTCAAATCCTGTTAAGTCCTGTTTTCGACAGGAGTTAAACCTTTATAATGACTTTAGTCCAGATTGATCAAGTTAAGTCCTTTTTAGTTTTTGGTTTTGATTTGATCCTGGTTTAGAACAGAATCAAGAAGTCCTGTTTACGTATTTTTTTGGGCCTTCCTTGGTCCTGGTTCAGTCCTGCTTTAGTCCTGCTTTAATCTTTGTTTAGTTTGTGTTTCTTCCTGTTGTTTTGATGTTTGGACCTGATGGACTCGTGTCTCTCGTAGACCTGAGCAGAGTTGTTTTGTGTTGCAGGAGAGCCACATGCATTTGACCCGTCTTTCAAAGGACCCGTCCGCTCAAGGTAAAACATGTCCACTGTTTTAGTCAGCTCTCCTCTTTTGTTTTTGTGTGTACAGTTTAGTAGTGAGTAGTGAGTTTATTTGTAGTGAGAAAGTGATTTCTCACGGCTGTACATGTATTAGTAGCTGTTAAAGAACACTTTATTCATTATTAAAGGCAAAAACAACAGACTTGTCCATGTGTGACCACAGTGAGTTATGAATGACTTGTATAGGGACATGTTTTCTCTGTGTTTGACTCTGGGGGGACAGTGGGCACATGAGAGTGAAAAACTGGAGTGCCCAGAGGAAGTTCACACACAGGGAGAACATGTAAACTCCACATGTCCACTCTGTGGTCAGAGCGGAGGTTTCCTCTGGACTCACTGCTGTGATCCTTTTTATTGTAAAACATAAGGGCTAACCACTCTGCCACAATTACACCCTGACTTTGACAAACACTGGGAGATAAAGTGGGTAAAAAAAGAAACACTGTGGCCACAAAGGGTCATGTTTCACTCTGATCTTTTGTAGCACCAATAAATCCATGAAGGGACCGACCAGTTCTGAGTGAATCTAAACACACACTTATGGTCTGATCTGATCATCTAATTACTCCAGTATCAGATACTCATCATTTCAGCCAAAATCGTACCGATCTGCAAAGACGAGACAAACAAAAGTCTCTGATCACTGATCTTCTTTCTTGTGTTCTTCTCCCTCGTGTGGTCTCCTCAGGAGCTGCACAGACCTTCTGTGTTGTGTGCTCTTCGTCTTGGTGCTCTTCTCCTACAGCGTCCTGGGGCTCGTGGGTGAGTCACACATCCTCTCGTCCACCACAGGCTCCAGACTAACTCGTCAAAATGGCAGCTGTACCTGAACACTAAACCATCACGAGTTTGTGTTTATCAAATAAATGATGTGCCTATTTAACAATAAAGCAAATAACGTATTTCATTTCCACATCATTTATTAACCTTTATGTGAGTCCCGTGTGCTTTCCTCTACTACTACTCCACTCCTCCTCGTCACTCCCTCCCTCTCTCTCTCCACATGGGTGACATCATATAGGATGACATCATCTTGTGCCTCCTCAGCTTTTGTCCTAGTTTCCCTGAAGTCCACAGCCCCTCCCTCCCTGCAAGAAGCGCCTACATCTAAACAAACCACCAGCGTAAGATCTTATAGAAATCTGCAGAGGAGGACTCCCAAAACCAAGAGCCCCGGACCTGATAAAGGACGGCAGAGGAGGGGCCCCCATGTGCTTCCTCTCGGCTCAGTGTAGTAATCACCGCTCTCTGTGTCCTGTACGGGGCTGGACAATTAAACACATTTGGCTTGAGATGGAGATGGAGTCATTTCTACTGCTCCATGTTCATGTTCAGGTTCATGATCTTTACACTGAACATGGCTGTGATAGAAATAATCATTGTTTTTATTGAAGCGCAGAAGGATGTGAAGTATAAACACAGCCCCACCTTCTTTCTGGTCACAGTCCGCTCCCTGCTTTTGTCCGTGGCGATGTTATTTTTTATTATTACTCCATTATTGTTCTTAAACTTACAAATCACCGTAGAGACACAGGCAGAAACAAACCACCCTTGACATTTAGCTCAGTTTGCGAGTGTTTCCAGGTTCTTCGTTTTAAAAAGACCTGTAATTTAAGTTCTTCTCCACACACTGCAAGTGACATATTTAAGAATATTCCAAGTTACGGCATTTATTTTACTTATCTCCATGGGGACAGACACCCGGCCGAGGTACGGGTCAGATCTGTGGAGAGGCTGGCACCCTCATGTTTTTCACTGTGTCTGTCGGCGATACAATTTATGTTTAGTGCAACACCGATTAGTTTAATGCCATATGGTGGAATATTCCAGTGAAAACGATAACATCTCTATGGGCACAAGCAGGTGGCGGACGCTGCTCTAGAAAAGTTACATAATGAATCTTTACCCTTAAAAGGAAGGGGTCTGTGGAGCAGCACTTTAAGGTTTTTAAGCACTAAACTGTCGGCATTTCCTCTTAAAAATCTGAGACCGGATCATTTTAATCTAAAGCCAGACTGTTGGTCCTTGTTAGGGACGTAACGATATCGAAATCTCACGGTGCGATATTTCTTGCGATATTTTGAAGAGGCTCATTTAATTGTAGGTGGGACACTTTTTTGCTTTTAAAATACCCTGACAAGATTTTGGTGCGATTTATTCCCATCATAATCTCAAGAATTCAAGTAAAAACGTATTTCTTCGTGTTGTCTGCGCTGAAATGAATCATGGGATATGTAGTTCCCGATGTTCATAAGCTGCTGCTACTGTAAACCCACGTATTTAAGCAAAGGAACTTGTGATTGAGACACTTTTGACGATACGATGTCATGCTATTTCAGTTTTTGTCACATCTCTTGTCCTTGTTTTTCCAGCCTGGCTCCACGGAGACCCCAGGAAGGTGATCCACCCCACTGACAGCAGGGGCCAGTTCTGTGGGCAGCCGGGGACCCCCAACGAGTAGGTCCCTGAATACTTCTACTTTACATTCACTGGTGAAATATTATGACTTGTTTTGACGTGACGTTGTTCATTAGGTAAACGTGGACAGTAATATTGTACAGTACTGACTCTCTTAAAGCTGCATTACTCAAATTTCCTGTTCACATGTTTTTAAATAGTTTTATATGATTCTTTGGGATAAGAGCTGATTGTTTGTGCTCTGACAGTCCTCCTGGTTTCCCTTGTCTGTCAAAGATCCATGCATTTGAACACTTTCTTACATAGTTTGAAAATCAGACACCCCAAAATTATATCCTCCTGGGACCCGAAGAAAAAAAGTGTATTGCAATATGTGTTTTTTTTGTGACATTTGTATTTGTGACATTGACATTTGGGTGTTAAATCGTTGTGACACTCTGACAAACTTCTATAGTCGCCTCAAAATTATTATTATTTTTTTTTTAAATCATAGTGTAGCCACAAACTAACTCCTATAGATTTTTTATTTTTTTTTTTAATCCTGACATGATACTGCCTTATAATCCCCAGTCCTATTTAGGCAGAGGAACCTTGTCCCTCCATTAATAGTCTGTCTCAAAACACTTAAAACATCAACTTGTTTAACTCAATGTCCACTACAAAGGACACAAATGAATGGGCCGAGTCTCAGGAGGATATTAAGATTGTAATTTGTTGCTTGTGTCTTTCTTACAATGAAATGTATTGTATATTGTTTATATTGTTTTATATTTTGCTGTCCTCTGTTTCTGTGTGTGTGTTTGCATGTGTGTGTGTGTGTGTGTGTGTGTGTGTGTGTGCGTGGTCTCCTACAGAGATAAGCCGCTCCTGTTTTATTTTAACCTCCTGAAATGTGCCAACCCAGCCGTCCTCCTCCACCTGCAGTGCCCCACCACACAGGTACCACTCAGACACACTGCGTTGAGCTAATTTTATTTATTTTATTTGTTAAATAAAATATGTTGTGTAAGCAAATAAATAGTAAAAGTACTCAGCTTCATATTACAGGTGCTGTACCTGCTTTGCTTTATTTTGTATTTGAACAAAATGTGTCCTGCCCCGGCCCAGATATATTGTATAATCAGCTCTTTAGGCTTTATTGTTTGCATGTTTTATTGTCAGAGAAGTGTTTAGGAAGTGTGCATTAGCTTGCTAGTTAATGCTACCATGACAAAACTCCACTCTGGTTTTTTAGAGTTATGAAAACTTCAACTCATCAGGGTGAATTATTAGGATGCTCAAAATCCTTTGGACCACAGAAAACTGTTTAAAATGAACTAGTTCTTTTTTTCACATTTTAAGACAATAAAAAGTGTTCATATTCTGAATATTTAAAAGTCTTTTGAGCGCTGCATGTTGTCAGTGTACCATTTTCACACATGTTAACTGTGTGTGTGTGGTGTGTGCAGATGTGTGTGTCCCGGTGCCCGCACAGGTTCCTCACGTACTCGGAGGTGCAGCAGCAGCAGAGTCTGGGCCTGGGCCGGAGCTCCTGGGAGGACTACAGGATCTTCTGTCGAGCGAACTTCAACAGCCCCCTCAAGGTACCTCCACGGTCAGACCTCTATGACCCGTCCAGGCCTCCAAACAGACCCCTCTGCTGTGACTTCAGCCAGGCTTATATGATCCATCCAGGCCTCCGAACTAGGAATGGGCATGATTAGTCGACTAACTGATCATTAAGAATACTGTCAATCACATTCATTTTTAATCGACAAACTAAACGTAGGTTTCTGTGCATAGCGTAGCGTAGGAGATGAGACTCGAGTTGTGCCTCACAGTCCCACGTTTGGTCTCTGGCTCCTTGGAGACACTGTTCCACTCAGTGATGTGTTTACAGCGCATCAGTGTCCCGAGTATGATTGGGTTTGTCCCGGTTTCGTCATGGTGCATGTAAACGCAGTATCCTGGTTACTGCAAGTAAAGTTGAGTCACATGCGTCCAAAAGACAAACAGTCTTTTCGGTCTTTTCATCACAACAGTTGCCAAAATAAATAAAGTGACCAGCATAAATAAAGTGAAATGATGTTAAATAAAGAGCTGCACTAAACCTGCACACGTCTGATCTGTGAAAACATGAACCATCTCCAACACGACACAAACACAGAACAGACTCACCATCATCATCATCATCATCATCATCATCACTCTGAACACTCATATTCCACTGAGTCGTGTCCTTTAGTCTGACAGAAATTGAACCGCATCATCGCACAAGGAAAGAGCTGTTTATTTCAGCGCTTATAGTTTATGCAAATGAGTCATGTGGTTTTAACTTTTGTTTCTGTAAAACGTAAACAAATGTGTCAAAGCTGCATTAAACACATTATAATGTCAAACGGGCTGATGTGGCTCTAGAGTGTTTATGGTTTATGTTTATATGTAAAGTTGAGTTTATTTATGCGGATTAGTAATAGTAATAATCATGATAATTTTACTTTAAAATGTAAATGATTATTCAAAAATCGATCATCAGTTCTCCCGACGATTTATTGAGAAAATTGAATGCCTGTGCCTACTGGACCTCTCTGCTGTGGGTTTAGTCGGACGTTCACATGGACCCTGTGCTGTGTGTTTCAGCCCGTGTCTCAGGTGCTGCGGGACGAGGATTGTCCCTCGGTGCTGGTGCCCAGTCGTCCAGGTCAGCTTCCTCTTCACTCTGCTTCCTCTGCTACAGACATAATTCATGAGTATAATAAGATAAACCCAGCCTGTGCCATTTTGGTCTTGTATTTGATTTAACTGAGTGAAACATCCTGTTATTTTTGAAAATTGCTGTGTTACTTACATAATAATCAAATATGTACAGATGTAGCTCAACACCACATGCTTTTAAAGTGAGGTGTTACACATTTCATTTTTATATTCAAATAGTTTCAGATGCAAATAGTTCTTGCTCTTTTCACATTTTCATTGTTGTTAAATACAGAATAATCTCCTCTTACTCACCTTTCCTACAGTCTGGCTGTTGAACCTCCCTCTTCTCCTGCTCTTAATCCTTCTGTCCTCCTTAGGCCAGAGCTGATCTTGGTCTCCTCCTCTCTCCTTGTCTCCTCTCTCCTCCTCTCTCTTCCTGTCTCCTGTCCCCTCTCTCCTGGTCTCTCTCTCCTCTCTCTTGTCTCCTCTTTCTCTTCCTCTCTCCTCATCTCTCCTCTCTCTCTCTCTCCTCTCTCCTCTCTCCTCTCCTCTCTCTCCTCACTCCTGGTCTCCTCCTCTTTCCTTCTCTCTCCTGGTCTCCTCCTCTCTCCTCTCTCCTCCTCTCTCCTGTCTCCTCTCTGGTCTCTCCTCCTCTCTCCTCTCTCCTGTCTCTTCTCTCTCTCTCCTGGTCTCCTCCTCTCTCTCCTCTCTCCTGGTCTCCTCCTCTCTCCTCTCTCCTGGTCTCCTCCTCTCTCCTGGTCTCCTCCTCTCTCTCTCCTGGTCTCCTCCTCTCTCCTGGTCTCCTCCTCTCTCCTGGTCTCTCCTCTCCTCTCTCTCTCCTGGTCTCTCTCTCTCTCTCTCCTGGCTCTCTCTCTCCTGGTCTCCTCCTCTCTCCTCACTCCTGGTCTCCTCCTCTTTCCTTCTCTCTCCTGGTCTCCTCCTCTCTCCTCCTCTCTCCTCTCTCCTGGCTCTCCTCCTCTCTCCTCTCTCCTTGTCTCCTCTCCTCTCTCTCTCTTCTCTCTCCTCTCTCTCCTCTCTCTCCTGGTCTCCTCCTCTCTCCTCTCTCCTGGTCTCCTCTCCTCTCTCCTGGTCTCCTCCTCTCTCCTTCTCTCTCCTGGTCTCCTTCTCTCTCCTGGTCTCCTCCTCTCTCCTGGCTCTCTCTCTCCTCTCTCCTCTCTCCTGGTCTCCTCCTCTTTTCTTCTCTCTCCTGGTCTCCTCCTCTCTCCTGGTCTCCTCCTCTCTCCTTGGTCTCCTCCTCTCTCTCTCTCCTGGTCTCCTCCTCCTCTTTCTCTCTCTCTCCTGGTCTCCTCCTCTCTCCTGCTCCTGGTCTCCTCCTCTCTCTCCTGGTCTCCTCTCTCTCTCTCCTGGTCTCCTCCTCTCTCCTTGTCTCCTCTCTCCTGGTCTCCTCCTCTTTCCTTCTCTCTCCTGGTCTCCTTCTCTCTCCTGGTCTCCTCCTCTCTCCTCTCTCTCCTGGTCTCCTCCTCTCTCCTGGTCTCCTCTCCTCTTTTCTTCTCTCTCTCCTGGTCTCCTCTCTCCTGGTCTCCTCCTCTCTCCTTGTCTCCTCCTCTCTCCTTGTCTCCTCTCTCCTCATCTCCTCCTCTCTCCTTGTCTCCTCTCTTCTGGTCTCCTCCTCTCTCCTGCTCCTGGTCTCCTCCTCACTCGTGTCCTGCTCAAGCTTCCTGCCCTGTCCTTGTCCCTTGTGTTCTTTTCTGAGGTTGTGTGTGTTCCTCTGACTCGTCTTCTTGTCTTCTTGCCTCTTGTCTCTTGTCTCCGGGTCAGTTCTGCGGAGGTGTCTGCCTGACCTCTCCTCTCACAATGGCTCTGTGACTGTGGCCAACAGGACTCAGTTTGTGGACGCGCTGGAGAACGCTCGGAGCGTCTCAGAGCTACAGGAGGCCGCCAGGTACGACCCCGACCACAGAAAACAGAACACAAAACAGTCTTTACGTGACCACATAACAGCCTCTACATGATTGTATCTCTTCAGAAGGTTTGACTGTTTTGGGGGATTGTGAATAGGCTCTGTGCAAAACTGACAGTTAATTTTATAAAAATCATAAAACATAAAATAAACAACTTATTAAAATTTGAATTCCTTAAAATCAAGATTAACTATAAGTGTGTAGAATAGTTAAGTTTGTGGCATTGTTACAATATTTATTAAACCTTGACACACACACGTCTCTCTTTCACTTGAAGCATTCATTTTATTTGTGTACTTTTTTTAACATGGCGTCAGTGACTTTCACCCACAGCTCCCTGTTCACAGTCTTATCTTTAAATATTTATTCATTTTAGCATGACTCAGCAAAAACCTCATAGAGATAAAACTGGACAGGAAGTAGTGAAGTCAGTATTGTGTACAGAACCTATTGTCTGGCCTGTTTATGTATGTATGTATGTATGTGTATGTATGTATGTATGTATGTATGTATGTATGTATGCATGTATGTATGTATGTATGTATGTATGTATGTATGTATGTATGTATGTATGTATGTATGTATGTATGTATGTATGTATGTATGTATGTATGTATATGTATGTATGTATGTATGTATGTATGTATGTATGTATGTATGTATGTATGTATGTATGTATGTATGTATGTATGTATGTATGTATGTATGTATGTATGTATGTATGTATGTATGTATGTATGTATGTATGTATGTATGTATGTATGTATGTATGTATGTATGTATGTATGTATGTATGTATGTATGTATGTATGTATGTATGTATGTATGTATGTATGTATGTATGTATGTATGTATGTATGTATGTATGTATGTATGTATGTATGTATGTATGTATGTATGTATGTATGTATGTATGTATGTATGTATGTATGTATGTATGTATGTATGTATGTATGTATGCTGTATGTATGTATGTATGTATGTATGTATGTATGTATGTATGTATGTATGTATGTATGTATGTATGTATGTATGTATGTATGTATGTATGTATGTATGTATGTATGTATATGTATGTATGTATGTATGTGACTTATTGAGTGCAGTTTTTAGCTATTTTTATTTTCATTTTCCATTTTCTTTCAATTAGAAAAGGAAAAATACACAATAAAACCAGTCAAAAATATAAATAAATAAAAATATTAAATCCTCATCGAGATTTTTCACCCATGAATTCTAATGTATTCAAAACTACTTAGATTTAGAGAGTTATTCAGACCTTCAGTCCATGTTTTATCATATATTTGTGTATTTTTATTTACTCTTAAACATGCCTTTGTGTGTGCTGCCTTCTGTGTCCTGCAGGGGGATCACAGGTCTGCTGGACACCAGGGAGATGGGACTCAAGATCATGGAGGACTACGCCAAGTCCTGGTTCTGGATCCTCATGTAAGTCCAGACCAAAGCCCAGAGACTGATACTGCGACACGCGGAGCTGCGTTACCTCTGTTCTCCTCCAGGGGGCTCCTGATGGCTCTGGTGGTCAGCCTGGTCTTCATCCTGGTCCTGAGGTTCACAGCAGGTCTTTTGCTCTGGGTCACCATCCTGGCCTTCATCCTGCTGCTGGCCTACGGTCTGTACTCGATCTGGGGCTGATATACATTCATTTTAAGGTTGTCGGAAAAATAGATAGCCAGATAATAACTGATTTCTAACTGCCCAATACTTCCAAGAAATTCCAAGAAATTAGCAGAGAACAGGAACCACCCTCCATTTAAGCTTAGATGACGACAGAGTCAACTGTTACTCAAGGTCCTACAGAGGAGGCACCTGAGCCAGGGTTTGGGGTGGCCACTTTAACTCAAAGCTACTGTAGGAAGATATAAGTTCATGTTTAAAATCACAATCACAGTCACAAGAAATATTTCAGAACATTAACTTCATAACTACAGAGCAGCTGAAATGAATGAGGATGAACCCAACCAGCCTGAAAAGATAGTTGAGTGAAAATATGACTCAGGGACCGTTCACACCTTAGGGTAGTTCGCTCCACTTCAATAATACTTCAACAATATCAGATATGTCTTATTTTAAGTAATTAGGGTGTGTTGTTTTGCTGAAATTTGCCCTTCAGAGAGCTATAAGGCAGCGACTTTCTAGTTTTCTGTCAGAACTGAAGCTGCTTAGTTGAGTGAAGAAATTATTCACATATTCACCCCCAACAAACTTTTTTTGAGAGGCAGAATTCATTTTCCATTCAATTCATTGATAATTTATACTAAAACTTTTTACTCTTTAGTCACTGGTATCAACATAAAACATAATATAAAAAGGACCTTTCCTGAATACTTTTTTCACATGGGTTTGATCTGCAGGGATGTGGGTGTGTGTTCTGGAGTTGTCCCGTCTGAGGAGCAGACCCGGCTCTGAGGTGACCATCACTGAACTGGGCCTCCACACTGACCTGCAGCTGTACCTTCAGCTGCAGCAGACCTGGATCCTCCTCTGTGAGTCAGGAAACGTAGCTTTTAAACATTTGCTTCATACCTGTATTTGTGCAGCTGTCTCACGGTGGTCCCTCCTCTGCAGTGCTGTGTCTAGGCTCTGCTGAAGTGTCTGTTGTGCTGGTGCTGCTCTTCATGAGGAGGAGGGTGCTCATCGCCATGGCCCTGCTCAAAGAGGCCAGCAGGTACACAACAACAACACAACAAAAAAAAAAACACACAACAAGGGAACAGCCAACAATTACTAATACAAAACATCTTCATATGTGTGTGTGTGTGACAGGGCCATCGGGCAGATCACCTCCACACTCTTCTACCCTGTGGTCACCTTTGTCCTGCTCACCTCCTGTGTGTCCTACTGGGCCCTCACTGCTGTGTATCCTTTGACAGAGGCTGGACGAGAGCAGAACCAAAGCAGGACCAGGACTATGGACTTGACTTGAACTTGAATGTCTCCCTCAGACTGCACCTGCCGCACTGTGGTTTTGTTGTTGTGGTGTTGTGTCACCACACTCAGAAGGCTGCAGTTCAGCAAAAATAGACTCTCAATGTAAAACCTTCTCAGAGACACCCTCAGCCTTCTCACAGATGTCTCAGTAATTGTGGTGATAAGAGACAAAGAGGCAGTAGTGGTATCAGAAGAAATACTACAGGAAGTATTTGTAGTTATGCTGAAGGTGCCAGTGAAATCATAGACTGTATAAAAGAACTGGACTAAGCGAGTGTGACATCACTCACAGCGTTCTGCGCCGCTCAAATGAGGCTCACAAGTGCTCGCAGTTACAAGAGCGAATCTGGAGGCAGGCTCTATATTATGAATAGGATATTTTTGGATGGACAAAATAGCACAAAAAAAAAAAAAATTCAGGATCATGTAGAGCGGATTAATGCCAACATTTTAAGAACAAAATGACAAGGCTCACAGCAGCAGGTACAGAGAGAGACACGACAAGATTCCAATGTAAGTCAATTGGAGTCAGGGTCACAAGGAGCCAGAAGAGCCTCTTGGCAAACTTCCTATTTGGCACCCGGCGGCTAGCACATTATGTCCACTCATATATACGGTCTGTGAGTGAAATGGAGATCGATTCCATCCTGTGTTTCTGTGCAGTATGTGTGTATGTTTGATGTATTCACATAAATAAATACATTTTCCTGAGCTGCAGTGGCAGACACTTGTCTTCTTCAGGGAAGGCCGTGTACAAAGTCATGGCTCCGGACGAGAACTGTCCTCACGCCAACAGCACCTGCAACCCCGAGGTCAGACCACCACCACATACACACACACACACACACACACACACACACACACACACTTCTGCAACCTCCAGCTCAGTCCACCTCCACAGGAACATGCACACACACAGACCATGGTTTAACATTGTTCCTTGTAAACACACCTGAAGTGTCAGCCGTGCATGTTGGAGTCATTTCTCACTTGCACTATTTGAAACTTCATGGTGGTCGGCAGTACGGGTCTGTCCAAGACTCCGCCCACAAGAAAACGTCACCCAGGCACCTAATGTTACATAAATACACAAAAGCAGGATACAAAACAATACACGACAACAACGTGAACAATGATAGTGTTGTTATTGTGTTCTAATCTCAATCTCGTACACTTCTGCCACCTTCAGGTCAGTCAGTCTCTCTGAACCTAACCCCAACCTTTAACCCTTCAGAATTTAAAACCATGTTGTTGACCTAAAAGTAAACACACTTCTGTCACACTCGTGTTAGCCTACGTAAAAACATACTGAATAACAGGACACTGACACTGATGTTTTGTCCAGACCTTTAGCCGCTCGTTCGTGCACAGCGCCCCCTCCTGTGCTGGAGCTCAGTGCCTTTTTGCCTTTTACGGAGGAGAGACGCCGTTCCACAGACACCTGCCCCTGCTGCAAGATGGCCAACCTGCTGGTGTTCCTCTGGCTGCTCAACTTCAGCCTGGCCCTGGAGCAGTGCACCTTAGCAGGGGCCTTCGCCTCGTATTACTGGGCCCGGAGGAAACCCCAGGACCTGCCCCCCTGTCCGGTCTACTCGTCCTTCAGCCGAGCGCTCAGGTACAGCACAGGACTGCACTGTAACTATGGTATTACACTGAGGAGTCACGCTGCAGTCGCGTATTGATTTTGGTGGTTATTGTCATAATGATGGTGAAGGATCATCAAAATCAGGGGTCACCAAACTTTTTTTCTCTGGGGGCCACATTATGGCTCCTGACTGTGATGGGGGCCAGGGTCGGCTCAGCCGTATAACAGAACTGTATGACCTTAACTGCACTACAGAACTCTGCTTGTGCAACTGTCACAGTTTGATCTCGAGCTTGTAAGGTGATGAAAATTCGGAGGCAAATTCGGTGGCAAATGTAAATACGTCATATAATTATTTAAATATAAATATAAATACTTCATATAAATATCATTTTTTTATTGAAAAAATCAACATAATACAAGATATAGACATGTTACTATTTGCCAAAAATGTATTTTTGAAAAATTGGCCATGACAACTTTTGAGGATTGCCTCATAGGGCCAGTTCGGGGGCAGTTTAGCAATCTATGATGCTAAACCATAGACTGTATGTAAGTGAAATGAAAGAGTGTGGTATCACCGAGGCAATGGAGGCTCGCAGATACAGTTAAAGCTAAATTGGAGCAGAGCTCCAAAGAGCCAGTCAGGAGGTGGCTGAAGGTACTCGTCCTTTCCTGCACTGCCTGTTTTGTTTTCAACAGAATTTAGCAGGAGCACAGTCGACGCAACAGATTTTCACCCATGCTATTTGGAATGTGGTGTAACTATCTCCATTTACACAGTCTATGTGCTACTCTGATAATGCAGATGATGCAGATGATGCTAATGATGTTGCTGAGGTGATGTTGTGTTCGCATGACAGTAAAAGTCAGTCTTACCACTGACTTTGCTTTTGCGTCGTGTTGTGTGCAGGTACCACAGCGGCTCTCTGGCCTTTGGCTCTTTGGTCCTGTCTCTGGTGCAGCTGGTGCGCATCCTGCTGGAGTATCTGGAGACCAAACTCAGAGGTGAGCCTCCTCTTCTCACACTCATGATCTCCAAACGGGGCTTTACTGTGTTCACCTGAGACTCATCAGCTGCACCAACTCCTGAAGAACAGATATTATGTGTTATTGCTGTAGGCTTTAAAGTATTGTTTCTCAAAGCCTGGGCCGTGATCATCAGGTGGGTGGCAAGAGATTTTTTTTGGGTCGCCTTGTCATGATCTGCATGTAGGTCTGAGATATACAGTTCTGACACTCTGCTCCTGCACCTGAACTGGAACTCGCTATAAAAATGCAGACCCACTTATCTCATTAGAAATGTTGAAAGGTTAAGACATGTTTTGTAAAATTTCTAATCTTTTTTAAATTATTGTATTGACTTTTTTGTTCCAATATTTCTGGTTCAATTGAATGTTGAAAAGAAAAAGAAATTGGCTAAATTTCATGTCCAAATAGGCGACTTATGCATCCTTTTATTGCTGCTTCAGTGACTGTTTAAAACTTGAGTAATACAAATTGTTCAATAATGGTCAAATCCACCTTTATTTTGTGATTTACGAATAGACTTTTAAAATATAATAGATATATAAGAGTCCCAAGAAAAAAAGTTTGGGAAACACTGATTTAAAGCATATTCTTGAGTATCTTTGCTTCAACATTTCATGTTTTAGAACTAAAAATAATGTCTGTTTTTCGAAGACAGGCATTGTGCGTTTACAGTGTTTCTATGATACTGAGTACTGGGGTTAGGGCACCATCTCCTGGCAGCAGAATGAATTACATTTGAAAAAAACTACAATTTGGATTTAACGGCACAAAGATCTCCGGACCTGTCACGACAAAAAAACTGGGAATTTAAAATGTGTGATGTTGTATTTTGGGGCTTAAAGGGAATGGACGACTAAGCAAGGATTCATCAAACAAGCATGAATAAAGCAAAATACAGGAATATTGTTATAACATGAATAAAAGCTCAAAAAAGTCAGTTTTGCGTAATATTTGTTTGTAGACAGTTGTGCAAAACTGACTATTTTCAGCTCCATAAAATTATTCCCTCATCCAAACACACCAGCAGTATTTGGTTTCAGACACATTTTTCATGAATTTTGTTTCCCAAATTCTGTCCTTCTTAACACTCGTGGGTTAAGATGTGGGTTTTAATTTACCAGGATTGTTACGTCATAGGTAAAAGTCTGGAGATCTCCTAAACCATTGCCAGAGTTCTGCTGTCAAAGCCCATTCATTACAACCCCCCCGTTTTTGTGTTAGCATGTCAGAAAAAGTTGTTAAGTTTTAAAAGATAAAAAGCTGTAGCATATAGATACTCAGGAGCATGTTTTAAGTAAAAAAATAATACATCATTTGTGTCCTTTAATTGCATTGTTCCACCGTCCAGTGTCTGTTACCGTGACCAGTGTGTGTTTGTGAACAGGACTGAACAACCCTGTGTCGCGCTTCGTCCTCTGCTGTCTGAGCTGCTGCTTCTGGTGCCTGGACAGATTCCTGCGCTACCTGAATCATAACGCATACATCATGGTAAGAGCAGGGACTACTTTTCTGACAGTACAGGCCCTGGTTAAAGCTGCTTTCTCTCAAGGTCGTTTATGAGCGGGGGACTTAGAGGAAAAAAGTTTGTAATATTATCTGTAATAGAAATGGAGGATTACGAAGTTAGATAATGAAAAATGAAATGAAAACGATCCGGTGAAGAGGAATGAAAACACAGAACAGTACCTCCCTCCACCTCAGTGCCCGACTTCATCAGACTCGCCTGGTTGATATTTAGTACATGTGCGTATCAGAATGTGAAATCAGGTTTTATAGATTACATTTTAATTTGTTTTGATCGTGGCGTGTGTGAGGCTCTTTCTTTATGTAATGCAGTTATGTTGAAACTCACCAGGTGGCGCTGTATGGGAAGAACTTCTGTACATCTGCGCGTGATGCCTTCTTCCTCCTGATGAGGAACATGGTCAGGTAACGGCTTCTGCTCTGTGTGTGTGTATGTGTGTGTGTGTGTTGGGAAAAAAATCTAAATAAATGTAGTGAAAAGTTTTTCACTACAGTTATTCTTTGATTTGACCACAGGGTGGCAGTGGTCGACCGCCTCACAGACGTCCTGCTGTTCTTGGGCAAAGTGCTGATCGCTGCAGCAGTCGGTATGATTTTTGTATGAAGTTCTGGTTATTTAGTTAAACCTGTCACATGTGTAGGTAATACAGGTGTAACGGTACACATACTCGTGCTGAACTGTTTCAGTACGGGACATTCGGTTCGGTGCAGGTCTGTGCATGAGTGAGTTCACGCAATTTGTTGTGTGTTTACGTTCCTCGACTACATGTGCAGATACACAGAAGGCTCAGCTCTTTAATATTCATGAAGAAACTCGTCCATGATTCAGCTGGTGTCCTGCCTTGACTACGTGCCTCCAAACCACATGAATCCTCACAAAACTACAATTGTCGCACCCTGGTCCTCACTCTCACCTTTCTCCAGAACAGAATTTATTTTTTATAATAGTTTATACATTTGCTGCTTATTTGAGAATATTTTATTTAACTTATTACTATTACTAAGCAGCATCTATTTTATTTTCCTGTTGGTTCAACAAACAAATGGTTTTGCATTTTGTTCCCAAACTGTATCGAAAATGAACTAAACTGTGACCTCAAAATCGAGGTACACACTGAACTGTGATGTTTGTACCGTTACACCACAGTAGTTAATTATTTTATTATTTATTATTTAATTTTACTATTCAGATTATTGTTTTGAGCTTTTAAACAAAGTCATTATATAGTATCTTTATCGCTGTGTGTGATTCCAGGGGCCGTCGCATTCTGCTTCTTCACCAAAAAACTCCCCGTGCTCCAGGAAGAGGTCCCACAGCTCAACTACTACTGGGTCCCCCTGCTGGTCAGCCCTGTAACTACACGTGTGTGTGTGTGTGTGTGTGTGTGTGTGTGTGTTTGTGTGATATTGATGACATGACTGTGTGCAGACGGTGATGCTGGGGGCGTATCTCATCGCTCACGGTTTCTTCAGTGTGTACGCCATGTGTGTGGACACACTGTTTCTCTGCTTCTGTGAGTGTGCACACACACACACACACACACACACACACACACATACACACACACGCACACACACACATACACAGGCACACACACAGACACACACACAGACACACACACACATGAAGTTGCACTTAATTCCAGCTCAGTCCTGTTTAATAATGCATCAGTTTTATACAGCACTTTTCTGGACACTCAGAGACACTTTACTGTTCATTATTCAGTCACTCCACACCCAGAGGTGGTAAACTACTACTGTTGCCACAGCTGCCCTGGGGCAGACTGACAGAAGCGAGGCTGCCCCAGGCCCAGAACCAGGCCCAGCCTGTTTAGCTTTCGAGATCTGACAGGATCAGGCCATAACAAGCTGGTATGGCCACATACCACATCCTATGTCATCAGAGGTATAATACTCCCTACGGCAGAAGCATATGTTAGCAGACTAGACTTGACTGAACATTGTTGAACTAAAAGCACATAGATCCATCTGTGCACTTCATCCATCACAAATGAGAACTGGGGATGGACTCCTCACACTGTGTAGTTGTATGAACTGTGCACAGGTCCAGTCTCACTTTACCTGCAGGGATGTTCCACAGTGTGGCATTAAATGTACCTGCTGTTCATGTTGTTTTCTGATCTGTGCTCTGACCAATCAGGTGATGACCTGGAGAGGAACGACGGGAGCCTGGAGAGGCCATACTTCATGTCTCCAGAGCTTCACAGGATTCTGGGAAAACCTCAATGACATTTGCACTCAGTTCAATTTGGACTTTAGAATTTCTATTCTTATTTGTACATATTGTTTTTTATGATCGCATGAACTTGAATCCTGTTTTTCACACATTTTTTATGCTTGTTTATTGTGATGTTGCGATGTTCTTCTTTCACAGGGCTAAGACATCAGTTTATTGTTTGCTGAGATCAAAATGAATATTGGGAATTTTCACAATCATCACCAAACTGTTTCAGGCACATGTACTTGTAGTTCACTGAAGCTCTAAGGGACAGGGACACTGGGGCAGCTGTTTTTACTTTTTTAAATTAGGTTAATTCTTTATTTATTTGAGCATCTGGATGAACAATGTTTTTTTTTTTTTTTTACTTTTTTAAAATGTATATATTTATGTATTTATGGCTCAACTCGTGCCAACCACAGTAATGAAGTCTGTCCCTCTGGATGTGCTGCTGTAAAGTATAAAGGTGCACTGTGTCATTTTTCTGAGCTCCTTGGAGATAGATGTAATGCCACTAATGCCGTTGTGTGGAACATTCTAACACCACGGAGACAAAGTGACGGATCGTACACCAAAAAGTGACATAGTGCACCTTTAACATTGTTTGGTGGTGACTTTATGGTTCATATCTCCGTAACTTGAAGCCCACGCTTGTTCTGGAAAGTCAATTTTCGTTTCATTTTTCCCACAGACATTTGGAAAAAAGAGTTAAAAGACATTGAGGAGGCTAATCAATAACTAATATCCATAACACGGCTGTTTTAAGTCCAAAACAGCACGTTTAATACACAGATTTCAGCAAAATGTTGTAATAAATCAGCAGTTTATAAAGGTGTAAAAACGTATAGATGAGTTTACACAGAGATGATTGGCCCTGAGCTTTCAAACCTTTAATAGAGCCTCGAATCATTTCTCGTTCCTCGTTCCATTCTGCTTTATTCCTTTCCTCGATTCTGCAGGAAATGGGTGAGAAAGTCTCGTGACACAGCGAGGAGACACAGGGAGAGGAGAGAGGACAGAAACTCCTCACTGAGATCAATAAAGTTTGATTCTTTTCTCTGACGTCTGCCTCCTGGAGTTAACCTGATTCATCAGCCAGTTTCACTTTGTGGAAACCATCTGACCTCGCATCATTAGGATTCGTTCGCTTGGTTTTTTAATTAACCAATCGCTCCTATTTGGTCGTGACTTATGTAATGTGCCGGAATGCTCAGTGGTGTCCAAGTAATCGTGAGCTTCACAGCTCTTCGCTGATTGTCCAGTGCGCGGTCTACAACTTCCAGGGTTCTTGCAAACTGTCTAGTTTATTCTTATTCCTGACCTAGTCTAGCCAGCTTGGCGCCATCTAGTGCCTCCACTCAGTGGTTCACAAAAGCCCCAGAAGTGCAAGTTCGAGCACCAGCCAATCAGTGAAGAGTCATATATTCTGTGTTGTCAACGATTCCCGACATCAAGGGTTTAAAGCTGGAGCAAAGAGAATGTTTGGTGAATTTTATCAAGGGGAAAGACGTTATTGTCCTTCTTCCTACAGGATTTGGTATAAACTTAATATATCAGTTATCCCCATTAGCGGCGCATTACATACGTCACGATGAAATAGCAGCTATTGGTTAAATGATACAAAGTATCCACCTACCGATGAATCAGGCTTGACCTAGTCGCTGGAGAGAAATGAAATTGAGCAAGGTGGCGCTAGCCTGTCTATCCTGAAGCGTCCCTCATGTTTACTCTTTCCTTCCATGGTTTTCTTTGGAACACTACTTAATTTGACACATTTGATTGACAGCTGAAAAATGGAGGATTGAAGAGAGAAATTAATCAAGGAGAAGGAAATGAGGACAGAGAACTGAGACGCAGCCAACATGGAAAAATCCTTGTTTACTCCCTGAACCGAGGACGTCTGCTCACTGTTGAACTCCATAATCTCCACAAACACTGGCACATTAAGATTCATAAAGGGATGGTTTAATAAATGCATGATTTACAGTGACAGCTGACACAACCCACACACTCCCCACGCCTGCATGTCACTACAATATTCTACATTTGAGCGTTTTCCTTACCTCGGTCGAATTGGTTTGGTATTGGATATTCGACACATTCAAAGACAATACACAGATTTTTTTCAAACAATTTGTGACATCTTCATAATCATCCAGGGTATAAATCACAATACAGTAATTATTAAAAAAAAAAAAAAAACATTGACCACTGGCCATTGATGATTTTTCTTTCCTTACCAGAGGGGTGCCAACAATTTACATCACAAATTAAATGAGTGTTGAATTCACAAATATGCATTAAATCAGCTCATAGTATGATTTTTAAAAATAATTACTGTCTTTTGATTTATACCCTGGATGATCATGAAGACGTCACAAGTTGTTTGGAGAAAAAAAAAATAAAAAAATCAGTGATATGTATTACAAGTAAAATGTCTTTGAATGTGTCGAATATCCAATATCAAACCAATTCGACAGCGGTGTTTTCCTTCTGGTTATTCGTCACAAATCGTAATCATAATGATGTTTGTAAAATGATGACATAATTCTGTCATAGGAGACGTTTCTATAACTTCTGCAGCCACCAGGGGGCGACACACATCACTCATCAAGGGAACTTTTAGATTTTTTTATTGTAATGTTCTGTATTTTGAGTGTTTTTTGGTTGTGTTCACGCAATATTAAAGGGCTGCTCCACTTTTATTCAGACTTGGTTTCAATACTTGTGCTTAGACTCTTTTTTTTTTTTTTTTTTTTTTTTTTTTTTTGTCATTACGCGTGTGGAAGCTTGAACCGTCTGTGCGCGCGGAGCTGACGCACACGCAGACGTCTCCAGCCTCCAGCCCGAGCTCTGGCACAGGTACACGGACCTGGGCTGACTCCGCTGCGCTTCTTCATCTTTGTTTTCCGCGTAAAGAAGGAGAAGGAGGTGGAGGAGGAGGAGATGCGGCTGGACCACGATGAGCGGGTTTGGTGACGGTCCGCGCCTCCGCTGAGCTCAACATGAGAAGTTTGGCGCTTTTTATTCTAAGTTTGTGTCATTTCACGGTAAGATACAGTTTATTTCACTGCTCCTTATTCCATATTTCTTTTTTTTCTATTGAAACATTTAGCAGAATTGGTCTTTAGGCTTCTGTTATCCGTTTAATTTGAGGTGTGTCCAACCTTTTTCCTCTGGTGAGCCACTTTTGCAAAACGAAAATGCCAGAAAACTGCTCCTTTTAGAGGCTGCAAACCTTAGAGTATATTTACATAAACATAAATAAATATCAGTGCACAAAGATTGACATTTAAATCAAACATTCAAACATCCATGCCTTTAGTATTGTTTTTTTTTTTTTTTTTAATATATCAGCAGAGCCAAAAAGTCACATTTATTCTCCATGAATTATATTGAATTATGAGTTAAATCTGGATGGTTTGTGCCACTGTAGCCTCAGGAAGGACTTTTGTGAAACACTCATGTACACAGACACATCTACAGTCATCAGTAACAAATATGAAAAAAATATGAATGATTCTGAGTCATATTTATGATTCCTAAATCCTTTGGAAAGCTTCTTGGAATGGGACGGAGAGCGACAGGACAGGAGACAGGAGACCTCTGCTCAACAACCGCAGACAGACATGTAGTAGTTCTAATATGATACGGGTTAAAGCTGCACTGCGTAACATTTCTGGAGCAGGGTCGACCACCTGCTTTTGTCCAGAAAGATGTTTTCACTGGTCTGGAATAATTTAATGACATAAGACTGTGGATCAGAGGTGGGACCAAGTCGGTGTTTTGTCGTAAGTTTCAAGTAAATCTCAAGTCTTTGACCTCAAGTCCGAGTCAAGTCCCGAGTTTATATGAGTTTTAAACTAAATTGTATTTAAAAAAAATGTTTTGACAAGATTTAGTGTGAATCATTACAGTCAGAATAGAAAGAATTCAGATTTAAAAGTGCTTCTCAAGTCACAGGCCTCAAGTCCGAGTCAAATCCCAAGTCTTAGTCCGTCTTATCAAGTCAAGTCTCAAGTCCTAAAAATAGTGCCTCAAGTCTGACTCGAGTCCAAGTCACGACTTGCAACTCAATCTGTGTATCATTCGTTTTTCAATATAAAACCAAAAATAGGAAAATGAAAAAACAACTATTTTCTTCATTATTTTTCTCCAAAACCAAAATGAAAAAACGGATAACGGTTTTTCATTTACGTGACTGCGATGCCGAACTTTTGCGCCGCATACAGACTGAACCAGGACTAAACAAGGACTAAACCGTTTTCAGTCCTGGTCTTGTCCCAGTCTCAATCCTGGTCTCAGTTCTGGTCTGATCCTGGTCTCAGTCCCGGTCCTAGTCCTGGAGTCAGTCCTTATCTGGTCCCGTTTCTAAGTCGCAGCCTCAGTCTTGGTCTGGTCCTGGTCTAGTCCTGGCCTCAGTCCTGGTCTGGTCCCGGTCTGGTCTCGGTCGGGTCCCGGTCTCAGTCCTGGCCCTGTTCCCAGTCTCAATCCTGGTCTCAGTTCTGGTCTGATCCCGATCTCAGTCCTGATCCTGGTCCCGAACTCAGTCCTTATCTGGTTCCGTTTTTAAGTCCTGGTCTCAGTCCTGGTCTCAGTCCTGGTCTGGTCCCGGTCTGGTCCCAGTCCTGTTCCCAGTCTCAATCCTCTTCTCAGTCCCGGTCTTGGTGCCAGACTCAGTCCTTGTCTGGTCCCATTTCTAAGTCCCGGCCTCAGTCCCGGTTTGGTCCCGAACCTGGTTTAGTTCTGATTCAATCCTGGTTCCTGTTATCTGTTTTTTTCATTTTGGTTTTATTTTGAAAAACGAATGAACAAACGATACACGGATTCAACTCCCCTCCTCTGCTGTGGATGATGCCCAGGCCAAGTTACAGGTCAGATCTGTGGAGAGGAGGCCCCACACATGATAAAGGTTAAAATTAATGCTCCTCGAGTTTTTTTTTATTTTTATTTTTTTATCATAACCACGCCTATAGAATGAATCCAAGACCGATTATTTAACTGCAGACAG